GTATTATTATTTTAATAAATAATTTGTGATTGAAAATAAGAGAGAGAAAAATGTATTTTGGAAAGAATGAGAATCAATCATAGAGTTAGTATCATTAATAATGGTTAGTACTAGTAAAATTAATATTTATGCTGGTAGTACTTCTTCAGGCAACGAAAGTACATCAAACATATGTACACGTAGAATACCATTAGAATTAACTACATGTTTTGTTCACAATACGCGTAATGTTTAAGAACGGCTAGATGCTAAAAATTTAAACTTACTAAGTTTTTGGAAAATGAACTATCGTCAATATCCAATTATTTTTCTTATAACACATGATTTACTTAGAACATCTCCAATAGACTCTTTAAACTTGAATACAGATCAAAAGTCAAATAAATGCATACTAGAGAGCTTAATGTGATTAAAGGATTGAGAAGACGGAGAATTCCAAATCCATGATAAATATGCCAAAATACTAGTTGACCAAATAAATGATCTATAGTTCATCATAATTTGTCATTGTGGATGTTAATTTTTCTAAAGAAAATTATACTTGTATCAACTTTTTGTGTACAATTTTAATTCCACCTATATTAAAATAGTCAATCTCAAGCCCTAAAAAGGAAGACAATTTTCAGTATTTTTTTAATAAAAAAATTACGTACGGCTCGTGGCTTGCTCGACTCGACCCATTGGCCATGAGCTTTATGGGCCAAACCGAGCCATTGCAATGGACATAATTGAGTTCGGGTTCAACTTATGCTCAAACGAGCCCGAGGCAAAGCAGCGCCAAGCTTGTGTTTACATAAGTCAAGTCAGCTCAACAAGGCCCATTGCATTTCCTAGTTTTTCTAATGAAGCTTTTGAATTGCCTAGAAAGACTTAACATTTGCATAACTACGTTCATTTTTAATCGTACATTCTTTAAAAAATATATTTTTTTTCAAATATTCACATAAACTTTTCATACCTTACCACACATCCTTAAAAAAATAAATAAATAAAAAATTCACTTTTAAAAAAAATTACTTTTGAAATGATCACCTTCACATGGGGAAAATTTTACTTTTCTAACCATCCAGTCTATTATCTTATGTAGAATAAAAGAGATTAGGTATGGAAAATCATCTATGAAAATGCACCAAACGAGAAGGACTTAAAACCATTCCTAAGGTAACGAAATTCCTTACCAATGAGTTCCAACCTGCACCGCTGCACGAAAGGCGTTTGTTCTACTTAATCCCATTTTATCTTTTGTTCTACTTAATCCCATTTTATCTTTTGTTCTACTTAATCCCATTTTATCTTTTGTTCTACTTAATCCCATTTTATCTTTTGTTCTACTTAATCCCATTTTATCTTTTGTTCTACTTAATCCCATTTTATCTTTTGTTCTACTTAATCCCATTTTATCTTTTGTTCTACTTAATCCCATTTTATCTTTTGTTCTACTTAATCCCATTTTATCTTTCATGACCACATATTTTTTCCGGCTGAGGAATGGAAATTCCAATCCATAAAATAATTTGATTTATGGACAATATTATTGTGGTATAGATCAAATTTTTGTTATTTTTCTTATGTAGTAGCTCGATGTGACACAAATATAGCAAAGCCCCGATAGTTATTATCAATCAGAATAATCAATAATTTGAAGTGTTTTGTTAATAAATTTTACAAAATTACTAAATTTTATTAATTGTTGTGCGTAGTATAACGTTACATGAACAATTTTGATTTGCACTTTGGGGTAGTTTGACATGGTTATTGAGAGGGCAAAAGGACATTTGATATTCAAAAGTTATTTTTAAACACGTTTGATTAATTTTATGAAAGTATTTATTTTAGTTATAAGAGCATTTAGAGGAAATTGGTTCAATATAATTTCCTCTAAACGTTTTTCTAAAAATTAAAGATATTTTAGAAATTAGTTTATAAACAATAATTAAAGTGTCTAATGGGCACTTTAAATGGCTAATCTTCACACATATCGTCTATTTTCATACAAAATTTTTTCCTTTAACTAATTGATAAAATGTTGAATTAATTATTTGGAGATTATGTACTTCTATCATTAGCAAATCAAACAGGTATTAGATAAAAGATGTCTGAAACTTAAGACAAGAAGTTGTACAGAAAAATCATTAATGGAAGTAAAGAATTTCTTTAAGAAAATAATCATAAATAATTCATAAATGGAACCAAAAGTTTGAGGACCAAAATACCATAAAATATGAAATGTAGACTCGTATACTTTACTTATAGAAACATCTGAGAGCAGGGATTGTAAATTTTTCATAATAATAGGGGCATCACTACAAGAAATAATCTAATCACGAATTCATTAATTATACATGGTCCATGTTTGAACCTCATTCTTTTAAAAAATAAAATTTCAAATTCCTTTTAAACCACAATAAGGTTCTCTTGTTACATCAATAGTGAAAAACTTTTATCCTAATCAAATTTGTATATTCTATACCCAAATGTCTACATATCATTGACCACAAACACGAAAGTTAGCATCCAAATCGAATGAGATTGGTTGAAGTTGTTGGGAATCTACTTAACATACGCAATAGAAATTAAAATAATTTTCGATTCCCATAAAAAATCGCCTTTGTATTTAAATAGAAATTGTGATAAGATTGTACCTTTTCCAGATCTGCAAACTTCTTTGCTATTCTTTTCGTTTCAGCAATTTTGATTCTCCACTCACAGCTGTCCAATTGTTCAGCCTCCAACGGTGATTCACACGGAGAACAAGATTGCAGCTACCAGGGTTTTCTCCTCTTGTGCTAGCAAGAATAATTATGAGAAAAAACTTATGGATTGAAAACCCTAGCCATGTATTCATATAAGCCCAAACGGGTCTGATCCGGTCCAATATTTAATTAATCCATTTAATTAAATCCGGTCCGTGAACTAATTAATCCAATTAATTAATTCGGGCCTATAAATAACCAACCTAATTAATTAATTTATCCAACGATTGTTAAATTAATTAATTGGCAAATTGCAATCTTCCAATCCTCTTTTATATGTGACTCATCAGGTTCCCGATCACGATGCCTAACGACATGAAATATTATTTTAATCAAATCAAAATTGATAAATTAAAACACCATTTTAATTTATCACCAATTTACACTCGCCGTCCCAGATTGACATCTAGCAATATATCAGGACAATACATGTGACGAGAAATGTCATGTGGTATGACAAAACCGAACTCGTTCGTTTACCGTGAAACTATAATCCCTTCGTCAATATGATCCGATCAATTACGAGATATAGAATTGTGTAAATCCCGAATATCGATCATATCTTTCACTCTACTATTAAGTAAATATAAGTCGAAAACTCCTTTTCGACTTATGAGTACATCTTGGCTAAAAATTTCGTTATCGACTTAATTGAATGAAACGCGAATCATAATCTCCTACCATCTAAGAGTGACGAATCCTTTATCGGTCAATTACAACTTTCATACGATTCTTGATGTACCCGAATGATATCGTATTAGCGGCCCTTTGCAGAGCAACATCTAACACCGCCAAAGTATGACTGTCTTCATATAAAGTACCATGACGACCTCAAGTCAAAGGACCAATTTCACTACCGAACATTAGAGATTAACCACTGATACTCAGATAGTTATCCATGTGAAATCGCTCGGCGGGTCTCCAATGTTTTGTTCTATAACAAAAGATTCACGTGTTCATTTAAGTGTTACCACACTTTAGCTTGTGAGATCAGTTACTTACTTAACAAGTAAGAAATGACACACGTAATGGTCTATCCGTAGTAACGATATCCGTATCTCGTTATTACTTACGACCACGGACGATTTAAGATTCAATCAGATATAATTTGTAACTCACAATCACAACTTCTTGTGATTAACAAATTATAAAGATTTGAATTTACAGACTCTATTATTTATTCAATTGTCTATTAATTAAATAATAGATCCGCCATTAAATGGCATGAATTATATATCAAAAGTATTTATGTCCAAAGTTGATTGGATTTAGGGCATAATACTGTTTTAATGAAACCAAAGGTCATTAGATAAATGTATTCTTATGCAAACATGTTTCAAGTTCTAGCAATTAAGGTCGTCTAAACTCTTTTAGACAAATGGATCGGAACAATTAAATAATTAATTAATCATATTAATCAATTATTTAATTAGCGGGCATATTTAATTAAAACCAAATTTTAATTAAATGTTGAATTGGAGTCCAACTCAAATTCCACAATTATAAGGCGGGATTATTTAATTAAAATCAAATTTCAATTAAATATTAAATTAGAGTCAAACTCTAATTTCAAAATTGAAGGTGGTTGAATTTAATTAAAATCAAATTTTAATTAAATAACAAAATTAGAGTCCAACTCTAATTTCAAGAAAAATTTTAGGGCAACACAATTTAATTAAAATCAAATTTTAATTAAATGTCAGATTATAATCCAATTCTAATTTCAAAAATATAATCGGGTGAATAATTAATTAAAATCAAATTTTAATTAAGTATTAAATTAAAATCAAACTCTAATTTAAATTGAATTAATATTTTAATCTAGGATAACACTCCTAAATAAAATAAAAAATTCAATTGAATCAAAGTTTAATGTTTAAGTCAAAATCCAATTTTAACAAAAATATGAAATGTCATCAATTTTAAATAAAATTTTGATTTGGGTCAAAATTAAATTATGGGTCAAACCCATTTAAAATTTAAATTTAAAACCGTTTTAAAATTCAAATTTAAACACTTTCAAAATTTGCAATTTAACCCAAGGCTTAAAATTAAAAGCAAGCCCTTCCAATTTAACAAATTTAAGAATAGGCCCTTGTTTTAAAATTTTAACTTTGACCCTTTTATTAAATTGCATACAGGGACTTTTAATTTCTCAAATTGCATCTTAGCCCCCGTCTCCAATCACTACACACCCGAACATTGTAAACCCTAAAACCTTTTTTTTTTGTTTATTCAGTGGCGACGCTAGTAAGGAAGGCAAGTGGCGGCGAGTCTTGCTGCCCTAATCAGCAGCGGCGTCACAGCCGCTGTAGGCACACCTGCTTTCAACTTAATTGCTAGAAACAAGAAAAATAATAACAATCAACGTTTGACTGTTCAATCACACAAATCAATTTCTAACAAAAACAAAGAAGGCTCTGATACCACTGTTGGGAATCAACTTAACATGCGCAGCGAAAATTAAAATAATTTTCGATTCTCACCAAAAATCATCTTTGTGTTTAAATAGAAATTGTGATAAGATTGTACCATTTTCAGATCTACAAACTTCTTTGCTACTATTTTCATTCCAGCAATCTTGATTTGGCACCCACAGTTGTCCAATTGTTCAGCCTCCGACGATGATCCAAACAGAGAATAAGATTGCAGTTACCAGAATTTTCTCCTCTTGTACTAGCAAGAATAATTATGAGAAAAAAACTATAGATTGAAAACCCTAGCCATGTATTTATATAAGTCCAAACAGGCCTGGTCCGGTCCGGTCCAATATTTAATTAATCCATTTAATTAAATCCGATTCGTGAATTAATTAATCCAATTCATTAATTCGGGCCTATAAATAACTAACCTAATTAATTAATTTATCCAACGATTGTTAAATTAATTAAATTGACAAATTGCAATCTTCCAATTCTCTTTTATGTGTGACCCATCAGGTTCCCGATCACGATACCTAACGACGTGAAATATTATTTTGATCTAATCAAAATTAATAAATTAAAACACCCTTTTAATTTATCTCCAAGTCACACTCGCCGTCACAAATTAATATCTAGCAATGTGTCAAGGCAATACGTGTAACGGGGAATGTTATGTGGTATGACAAAACCAAACTCGTTTATTTATCGTGAAACTATAATCCCTTCGTCAATATGATCCGATCAATTATGAGATATAGAATTGTGTAAATCCCGAATATCGATCATATCTTTCACTCCACTATTAAGTCAATATAAGTCGAAAATTCCTTTTCGACTTATGAGTACACCTTGGCCAAGGATGAGTACACCTTGGCCAAGGATTTCGTTATCGAATTAATTGAATGAAATGCAGATCATAATCTCCTACTATATAAGAGTGACGAATTCTTTATTGGTCAATTATAACCTTCATACGATTCTTGACGTACCCGAACGATGTCGTATTAACGGCTCTTTGCAGAGCAACATCCAATACCGCCAAAGTATGACTGTCCTCATATAAGGTACCATGACGACCTCAAGTCAAAGGACCAATTTCACTACCGAACATTAGAGATTAACCACTGACACTCAGATAGTTATCCATGTGAAATCGCTCGGCGGGTCTCCAATGTTTTGTTCTATAACAAAAGATTCTCGTGTTCATTTAAGTGTTACCACACTTTAACTTGTGAGATCAGCTACTTACTTAACAGTAAGAAATGACACACGTGATGGTCTATCCGTAATAACGATATTCGTATCTCGTTATTACATACGACCACGGACGATTTAAAATTCAATCAGATGTAATTTGTATATCACAATCACAACTCCTTGTTATTAACAAATTACGAAGATTTGAATCTACG